GTGAACTGAAAGCATCTCTTCTCCAATTATAACTATAGAAGTATTTCCAACAACAATCTTTATAAAATCATTTTTGCCGGGATAAACAAACTAATTTGAATCAATACAAAAGTACTTTATAAAATCATTTTTGCCGGGATAAACAAACTAATTTCAATCAATACAAAAGTAACAGAGCCATTTACGGCTTCTTGGCAACAAGTAGGATTTAACTACCAGATTATAGATTCAATGTAACAAAAATCCTTAGTTCAATGAGGAATCATCTCGTTTAAATACCTTCAGGAGAGGATCCAAATAGAAATATGAAGGACATTATATGATATAAGGTTCCTAAGAACAGGTGAAGATGAGTCCCAGAAGAATTCTCATTGAAGTTAATATGGCAGCTACTACGAATTTCTCCAAGTTGCTTCAACCAATCTGAATAACATTTGGGTGTTGATCTTGAGAAGTAAAGCATAACTTCAGACATTTCATCAACAGTAATCATAATTAAGTATAAGCAGGAACCAAAAGAACAATTCAACCAAACGTAATCATACCTATAAATGATTATCGAAGCAGTGGTTAACTAATTTGAGCTGAAATATTTTCAAACAGGCGGAAGGAATTGTTTGGGATCGGGAAGATTTGTGCGGACGAGAGCTGCTCGGCGACGTCGACGGGATCTGGCCGTCGAGTCGATTGTGAGCTGGGAGCCGAGTCAGGCTGGGCGTCGAATCGGGAGCGATCGGTTTGGTGGTCAAGGCTCGTTCGATCGAGCAGAAGAGCTCGGGGCTGGGAATCGACAAATTGATCGAACTTTGGAGTTGGTTCGGAAGACTGGGAGCAGGTCGGAGGCTTAGACGTCGTAACCGGTGTCGAACTCGCAAAAGTTGAACTTCCAGATTCGGGGGCGGGCCGGGAGCCAAAGGTCGGGAGATTGCCGCAAGCATGAGAGAACGTGAGTCCGAGATGGGACGAAGGTCGTCAATATTTAGAAGTGGGGATTTACATCTTTTTAGCACTTCGAAACCGCGGAAAGCAGCCGACCGCGGGAGACGGTGAATGGCCACGGGAAGCATGTACGTGCCGCGAATTTTTTATAACCCGGCTCTACCGCAATGCCTCCAAAAATTCCTTTAAAAACTTTTTATACAGTGAAGCAATAGTGCGCTGTCCCAAACCCACCCTTAGTCAAACTATTGCCCTGTTCTCTTCTACTGAAATAGGAGCCTATTTCAGAACATATACTTCTGTTAAAAAGTAGTTGATTTTGCATGGATAAATTCAAAGATAAGATATCTAATTTAAGGAATGGATATTCTAGTCGTGGTGATGGGATGAATAACTTAGTTATGAAGCTTTTGCTTAGTAGGAGAAGATCTAAAGCTTCCTACAGAGACAGCATGTAAGTTTGGAAATAAAGCTTCCGACCATATTTCACATTTTGGCCTAAAACGACGGTTTTCAGAACGTGTGAAGGGAAAGCAGTTTTATCAAACAAGAAATAATACTAAATTTTTTCCGTTTTAAAAACGAACAAGTAGACAAACAAATGAAGCCTGATTTTCATCTCCGAAATCCTAACCGTAGAAACTACTTCCCTCCCAGAAAAAACTGTTCCGCCCATTTCCTTTTTCAAAATCCTTTATTCCTATATATGAATTGAAAACTGCTTTAACCTCTGCGCAGGACCGAACTACCGCGATATGGATCAGCCAATGGCCGCGGTTCAGGCGCCGATGGGCGTTGTGTGCTAATGTCCCCTAACCAGGCTTAATCCGCACGCACAGCAGCAGCATCTCTCTTTCTCCAGATGCTTTGGGGAATTGTGCCCGCCGAGAATCATGCAGACAAGGGACTTCAAGTACATAGCCTCCCTCTTGCTCGTGATCAAGAAGATTATGAAAGCTGATAGGAAGGATGTTCGGATGATCGCAGCCGAGGCCCCGATTGTCCTTACTCGAGCATGTGAAATGTTCATTTTTGAACTCACCCGTAGGGCCTGGGCTCATGCTGTACAGAACAAGCGCCGTATTCTTCAAAAGAACGATATTGCTGCGGTCCTCGCTAGAACGAATATGTATGATTTCTTGGCTGAGAGTATGGAGGATATTGGAGGACCGTCTTCAACGACAGGGTGATCCTCTCGCTAACTACTATGTTCAGCAGTAGTGCCACTCTGATTTGATCTAGTAACTGTAGCTTTTGTCGTGTTTTGTTTCAGTTGGTTAATGTAGTTTCAATTAGTTCTTGTTTGTTGTTTTGTTACCGTTTAATGATGGATTAAAGGTGTGTTTGAGATGACTGCAAGTTATAAAATTGTTATACATAAATCAATTTATTTTGTTTGGATATTATAACTGTCGAGCTTCTGTATCATTTCTAGGTATTCGATCTATTCTTTTATGTTTATACTTTGGAGGCATTTCTTCACGTGCTAAAGTTTTTTTTTTATTTTCTGGCGGTTTTTTTGATATTTATTGTTTTCGTATTGATTTTTAAAGTTAGTGTTGAATTATTAATTAACTCTTGCACAATAATGTTCCAGATCAAGAACTAAGCTATTTTACCCACATTTTCCCACTGATCTCTTTTTTTATCATGAAAAGTGAAAGAAATAAAATCTTAATGTTGTATTTGAGAATGTAATAATACAAAGGAAAAATATTTTTGTTAGTATTTATTTTCCATCATATTTTGAGTTAGACATGCATTTGACCTGGCAACTCTAATTACTCTAATTGGAATTTGAAAATATGGACGAGAAAATAGCATTATGATAATGTGATGTTGTATTTTAAAATAAAAAAATATATAATAATAACATAAATTCATTATTTTAATTTCTCATAAAATAAAAAATATATA